GGGGCGGCTGCTCCCGCCGTTGGGGCGCCGCTGGGGCTGCCAGGCTACGTCGCTGCTGTCGCCTGCCCGCGCGCGCGCGCGCGTCGCCTCTTGAGGCCCAGCAGCCACGGACACTCGACTACTGAACACTCATGCCCGCCGTCTGGGCCTCTCACCGCCTCCGGTTCAGGGGCCTCGCCCAGCCCCCGCCCGCCCGGTCTATCCTGGCGCACGCCGGCTCAGTTGCAATATAATCGCTGACGCCCCGGGTGACCTGCCCTGCTGCCTCCACTGTTTCCTCTCTCAGGCCCCAGGCGGCCCTGAGCGCACCGGGACAAGGAAAAAAAAAGTGCGCCTGGCCCACAGGGACAAGCTTTGGCTTCGGTTTACAAACCCTCACTCTGGAGGGATACGAACAAAACACCCTTTGCCTGCCGCCACCTCTCACCTCGTCCCCCCCGCGTCCCCCTCCCACCGTTCCCGCCGCCGCCACCGCTGCGGAGGCTGCAGCCCCGGAGCGCCTCGGTGAGGCATTTTCGCACCCCGCCACTGAGCAGAGTGGCAGCGAGATGGGGCGAGATAACGCGCGGAGGGATCCCGTGAGGAGGCTAACCACTGAGCCAGGCGGGACGCTTCACGCCGACCGGAAAATGCCTCCGCCGGCCTTAAAGGAGGCCCATAAAGCCGCAGCGCCGCGAGCTCTCAGTGCGCCGGTGGGAACGCAGGCTGCGGCTGTCGAGGAGGGTGCGAGGAACCTCACACGTAGGGTAGGCAGGCCGGCCGCTTCACTGAGGCTGTAGAGTAAATGAGCCCCTCTCCTGGCCTCAAGCATCCCTGCAGAGATCAGCCTTAGCTTTGCACACTTGGGCACAGCTTTGGGGACTTGGAGTGAAGACGGACTATGCATTTGAGCTTGGGTCTTTGTGCTTGAAGGCCATAAGCATGACCACAAACCCTAGCGATATCAAGACAAATCAAAGCCCTCCTTTTCCAGCCGAGTGGGCCTTGTGGAAATGAGATGTACATTTACCCTTGACGCAAGGCACGCCTGGCTAAGGCTCCCAGGTTAATTGATATTTAATGAAAATCATGCCCATGAATATAGTTTCCATCATTTTACCCTTGATAGACGTCAGCAGCAGGCGCAAGGGTGGGGGTGGCTGAAGAATGCTGGGGGGTGGGGGGAGTCATTGCATTGCTGAGGAGGTAAATAGAAGAGCGGGCAGAATGTTCCGACCCAGGAAGGAGACGCGCTCTGGGGTGGGTGGCGTTTCCCTTGGCAGCGCGAGTAGCTCCCGGGGCTCAGCCCGGCGCAGGGCGGACCTGGGCTGGCTACGGCCTGGGAGGAGCGCGGGGGGCTCCCTCCCGCCGGTACCCCCAGGCCGGCGTTCAGATCACGCCGGTTCCAGGTAGCTGCAGGCGGAGTCCATCTTCTAAAGATTCTAATTCATCCGCGAGAGCGGGTGTGCGGGACTTAAGTTACTAATTTCTCTAGGTGAGAGGAAGCAAAGGCTCAGCCTTGTGAAGGAGGAAGAGAAACAGCCCCGCGCCAAGTGGTCGAGTGTGAATCTACAAAAATAATCCTGATTCTTGTCAAATCCACTGCGGTTTACACCATCAACCGTCTTCTTTTCTTTTCTTCTCTTACCCTCCCTGTTTTAATGTCCAATAAATGATACTATTTCGTGGTTTCTGTTTCGTGTCTTTTTCTTCGTCCACATGACCTTGTGCGCTGATTCTTTGGGTAACCAAACCTGCGTGTAAGCCAGTGTTTAGGGGAGTCAGGCCTATCGGCCTTGGGAATCGACCTGGAACTCTCCCGCATAAACTGAAATGCGCCACTGCAGCTCTCCAAATGCCAGTGTCTCAGCGTCATTCCACACTCCCAGAAGCGCAGCAGGCCAGTGATTTCAGCTAGCCCTCGCTCACCGAGGCTTGGCCCAAACCGTGAGCGGGATCCTGAGGTCGTTCGGGCTGGACGGAATATCCTATTTTGCAAATGAAAGAAACAAGGTTGCAATTGAAAGTCATTGTTAAGAGAAACTTTCCTTCTGTAATTATTTGTACAGGATTCAGTTAAACAGAATGCCAGTAAAAGCAGGATTTTTCACTTTATAGGATTTAGTTAAAGTAAACAGATTGCCAATAAAAGTAGTTTTAATTCTAAAAAATTAGTGAGTGCAGGAAACTTATAGTGATGGTTGGAGAGTAGATGTTTTTGCTTGCATGTTACCTACAGGTAAAATGCCCTTTTAAATCTAAGGCGAATGAATCGATTATTATAGTTAAGGATTTTTACTTCAATCTTGCAACTACTCATTTACAGGATTATTATTTTTAATAAAGCCTAGGAGTTGACTGTAATTCTGTATTTTTATTTCACTGTTTGGCTTATGCGCACGAGGGTGCTTCGGAATGGAAAGAGGAGAACATAAATGAACCTAGATTTCGACTGTTCAGGACAGGCATTATATAGGATTATATAGGATTACATGATTCCTGGAGGGGGGGGAAAGGAACACATACACTACAAATTTCATTTATTTGCATTCTGGCCTAATTTAGAAAACATTAAAATACAGCATTAATTCTTGTGATAAAACGCTTAAAATCTTTTATATATGACCATTTTGTGAATATTATGATTAGAAAAAGAGCACTATTAACCTCTTAAGGATACATGCTCTTTCTATTTTGATAGAATGGATTAAATTATTACACTTTACATTTCCATTGTGCAACAGAGCAAAATTTTTGAGCTCCTGAATGAGCCACATTTTATACCTATCAAATATTACTAGGAAAGTTCATAGTGCACATTGTTTATTTTTTAAAAATTATCCTAATTTGAGATTAAAAATGAGATTCTAAATATTTTAAATCAAAACCTTCCTCCACAGCAACCCAACTTTACTTGATCAGAAAATGGAGCAATAGCGCCCTCTAGTGGCGAAATGCCACGTCGAGCCAACGGAGTTCAACTTCCCTATTACACGTTTTAAGTCAGTTCCAATCTTGTTCTTCTGTTTGATTGGGGCTTGGGCCGCTGACACTAATAATGCTTTATCCCTTTGATTGTCAACAAGTCAAGTACAACAACCAAGGGCTCCTGAATGACGAGGATATTCCCATTTGTGCTACAAAGAACTTCCAGTAGTGCCTTCTCCAAAAGCTTCCAGCTTGTTTTACCAGATCGAGTAATTTCCCATTCTGTAATTTCGCAGTTGTAGTTTTAAAACACAGCTCTAAGATGGGCTAGACTTAACAACAACAACAATAACAATAATCACAACTTTTTAAATATCAAAAGCAAGAGCCTTTCCTTTTTAAAAATCCAGGCATTTTGAAAAGTAAGAAATTCTAGAAATCCTATTACCTTTTTTGTTTTAAAGGCAGTTCCTCAACTACTAAATCGTAACTATTAACTGTACTTTGAATACTCCAGTCTATTTTGCTGGTCAGTTTCGTGGGAATCTCATCCAGATTAGAAGCTTTTTGGCAGATCGCTGAGGGATGGGCTGTAGAGTCTCTGCTGGGTTTGTATTTGTTTCCATTTCAATGAACAATAAGTAGGATTTTAAAATTTATTTAAAGGTTCCGAGTGAATTAACTAAAATTCTGCTTGGATTTTAAAAGGCAGTATTCTTATTTCATCCACTTAAATATTTCCTGTGGGGCTAATCTTTTTCCTCGATATCAAAAAATATTTTCCTCCAATTAGGATACATACGTAAAATAGATATAATTTCCAGCAACAGCAACATTCTCGCTGTGAAACGTGGAACTGAGGAGCTGAATATTTTTGTGAAAGTGTGTCTGGGTATCTTCATTTTTTCCCAGCGATCAGGTCGCTGTGCCTGGTACATCAAAGATCGCCAGCGGCCCCCACCCCCTAACCTGCTAGACAATAGACAGGTTTGGTTTTGTTTTAAAAATCGACTAGAGCTCAGTAATCGTGAAAAACTTTCAGAAGCCAACCACCGTGGGCTACTTCTAATACTGGGGCCATTTCAAAAATCCAAAGCACCCAGCTCCCTCCTTCCTCCCCGGCTCGTTGTCACCTCTTAGGTGCTCACACCTCACCCTGGGCTCCCCAGGCCCTGCCCTCCTGATCCAACGCAATCTTGTTTATATTTTATTGTCCAGATTTTAAGACCCAGTTTTGTCTGCATTTTTCCTTTCCTCCCACAAACACAAACATCAAAATGAGATGGTTTCAAAGCGAAGCGCCGGGTCTGTCGTAAACTCATTACCTCCAGACGGCGCGCCGGCTCGATGGCTTTATGACACCTTGGCTCTTCCTGTTTTCAAAGAGCTCGAGGTACCCGGCTGGCTTCAGGGGCGGGGGCCCCACATCACCTTCGGCCGGATCTGGGCCTTGGCTTTCCCTCCCAACCCCCCCTTTCCCTCCGCGTCCCCCCCTTTCATCAGGACCCCCAAGATCTCTGTCACCGCCCCCGCCTTCCGCCCAGCCCAGGCGGCCTGGCGCCGTCGCCTCTCGGGCCTGCAAAGGCTCCGCACACCCCGAACCCTTAGCTCACAATGACCTTCATTTTAGCCTCTGAATGCAGCCCTGAGAGGGTCGAGCTGGTGCCTGGAATGGGGGTAGAGGCGGCGGTGGGGTGGAGGCGACTCAGGAGGAGAGCCTTGACCATTTGGGGCCTTTAAGGTCACTTTGGGGCTCCTGTAGGGAGGGGCAGACTCTCCCAGCCTGGAGGCTCCTGGAGCTGGGGAACCTGGAGAAGCTCAGAGGTGGCCTTCCCCTTGCTTGGAGGTGGGAGACGTGGAGCCTGGGGAGGATATAGGTGTGGAGTGGGGCTGCCTATTCAGCAGAGAGGTGCCTGGTGCCTGGAGGCTCCTGGGAAGCTCAGCTGGACGCAGCATTCCGGGTGGCCCTAGGCCCAAGCCAGCATCGATGGAGGCGCAGGAATCAACCTGGGTAGGGAGAAGAACCCCAACCCCCAACCGGGCCTGAGCCCCAGGCGGGCCTGCTCACACAAAGGGCAGCGCTTCGAGGAGGTTGTCAGGTCCAAGGGCCCCAGATTTTTAGTAATGTACCCATTGGAGCTAGGTGAAGTCTCACACGGATGCCATTGTACAGAGAGGCAGAGAAAGCAGGCACAAAGCGTCCACGGCCAGCGTCTGGGTTCCATTTGATCAGGTCAGCATTTATTGGTAGGAAGCGGTTACATTTACAACTGATCCCGGTCAGGAGCCGGGAGGGCAGCCACCCGCGGCCGCCCACGAGGGAGCGTGGCTCCTCCAGTGCACAGCGACCCCCACCCACCCGCACCCGAGGAGGCAGCTGAGGTCCTGGGCTCGGTCTCGCCTCTCCTGAGGTCGCGCTCCCTGAGGAAAGGAGGCTTTCTAACCAGTGGGCAACCCTGAAAGGCCTAGGCCTGAACAGGAGGCCAGCGTGTCCTCATGTCGCCTTCCTTCTGGGAACTGTGGCGCGCTGGGCCGCTGCTTGGGCAGGAGTGGGGACTAAACTACCCTACTTTTCAGAAACACGGGGGACATTTACACAGGAAGGCTCCCTGAGCCGGCGTGCACTCACAAAGGACAGCATTTCCTAATGGAACCCAAGGGCCCGGAGAGGGGGGCGCAGGGCAGAGTGAAACCCCAAAGCCACTTGGTTTCTCCAACACATAAGCGAACAATACAGAGTCCCCCAGATACCGCACAGAGACCAACCACACAGCCACTTCTACCTAAAGAAAAAGGGGGAGAAGGTAAAGTCCGAGTCGCTGCAGCGTTTCTGGAAACGGAGCACCCCCAAAGCAAAGCCCCGCTGGTTCTGTCAAGCGGGCGCTCATCAGTCTCCTTTGGGGCATTTCTCCTTGCTCATCTTTTTCATTTTCATCCTGCGGTTCTGGAACCAGATTTTGACCTGTCTCTCTGTGAGGTTCAGGATCCTGGCCACCTCATAGCGCCGGTCCCGGGTGAGGTACATGTTGAAGAGGAACTCCTTTTCCAGCTCCAGCGTCTGATACTTGGTGTAGGGGCAGCGCTTTTTCCGCGTGGAGCGAGCGTGGATCCAGTTCGCCGCGGGGTTGTCTACGGAGAGGGGGGTTTGGCGAAGGGGAGCGAGGGGCGGAGGGGAGGCAGGGAGAAACGACAGGGTGGGGGGAAGAGAGGTCATTAAATTAATTTCACTGAGGATGGTCGCTTTTCACAACTTGGGGGGAATTATCATAAAAAGCCTTCATGCCCGCGCTCTGTTTACCGTACGAACCGCGCGCCCAGGGTAGGTGGTTATGGGAAGCTTTTTTTATGGATGCGCCTCGCTCGCCTGGGCTAGGGTAGGCGTCTAGACGTTTTTATAGGTTAGTAAAACTATCAGTTTTGCACATTCGAGCCTTACAGGTTTCAGCAATAAATCAGGGGGCAATTTCTTCTGCACTTACTTGGGTCAAGTTGCTGCGGCGGCGGCTGCGGATGCTGCTTTTCCTCCTCCTTGAGCGCGCAGCCGGGGCTCGGGTGGTCGCCGCAAGCGGGGGGCTCCGCCTGGCCTCCCGGCCCGGGCCTAGCCCCAATCCCTGCCCCGCTGCCCGCTGCCGCCGCCTTGTCCCGCAGGAAAGAGAAGTCGGGGCCGCCGCTCCCCTGGGACTCGCGGGCCGCGGAGCACTCCGACCGCTT